AGAATCAAAATGATGCCTTAAAAAGAGTAGCCATATAGTTTAATGAATATAGTTTGAATATCAATCATATTTAACTCTGCCACACATGCAGCAGGGGGCTAGAAGAGTTTCAGTAACATACTGATTGACTAAGAGACTGAATTTTGTTGATGAAAACTATTTTTTGTTTTGTTTAAAATACGTTGATATTGTTTGTATCAAAATTAAACTTTCTTTCTCCTTTGACATGTTCAAAATTAAATAGAAATAATTTAATAACTACAATTTCTGTCCTTCAGTGTGACGTAATGTCCTATGGTGTGACACACATAAAAGAACCACAGATTTGTTTTTATCTCAAAATATCTTTAAAAAAAACCAATTCCAGAGAAAACTTTAATTAGTTGAAGGACCTCATTCATGATCATGTTACTGAAGCCCCCTGTGAAGCCCATGAAATGTGCACATGGTCAATTTTCGTCTCAGAATTGTTCAAATATTTAACTTTTTTGGAACCACTACAAAAGTGTTACGTTTTGTTGTCCTTTGGTGTGACACCCCTAAATTATAATTTTAATTAAAAACTGCATGTTAAGCTACATAATCATGGAAGATTATGCAAATGTGTCTTGCTAACCGCTAATGAAAGGTCATTAATTGACACAAAAGGCTGAAACGTACTGTGGTGTGACAGAAAACGTCCTCCGGTGTGACGCCTGTACTGTCACACCACAGGACAAAGATGTCTCACCAAAGGACAAGGTCTCTTTAGAAAGCATTTTAAATAATTAAATAAGATTTGTTTAACTCCTTTTTATTCTTTAAAAAAAAAAAAAAAAAGCAGTGTTCTTAAATGCAATAATTACATTAATTGACTAAGAGACTGACTTTTGTTGATGAAAATTATTTTTGTTTTGTTTAAAACGTTGATATTGTTTGTATCAAAAATTAAACTTTCTTTCTCCTTTGACATGTTCAAAATTAAATAGAAATAATTTAATAACTACAATTTCTGTCCTTCAGTGTGACGTAATGTCCTATGGTGTGACACACATAAAAGAACCACAGATTTGTTTTTATCTCAAAATATCTTTAAAAAAAACCTGTTGAATATTGCAATAGGGGACCATACAAATATCACTCAACTTAAAATGGTATAATTTTCAGCAGTTTTGAACAAATGACAGCAAGTTTGTCTTGTTGTCAAAGTTTTGAAATTGTCCAACAAGTCATGGGGAAAAAATTATGTTAATTATAATTTCATATTAAATAAATAGCACTATATGAAAATAAGTGTCTAACAATGAAGATAAATCTCTCTCTTGCTATTTATGTATTATTAAGAGTTTTTTTTTTTCTTAATTTTTGCTGTCACACCATAGGACAAATTTATGGTTCAGTTCAGTAAAAATGTAAAAAAAAAAAATGTAAAAAAAAAGCAGTGACAGATTTGACGAAGTTAGTGACCCTTTATATTTTCTCAAAGATCAGTCTTCACACTACATAAATTTATGCATTTCTTTTTTTACAAAAAAAAAAAAATTATTTTTTTTGTGGCATTTTTATTGCCTATTTGTCAACTACCCATAAAAAGTATTCTATAATCCTTTAAGAACTCCTAAAAACATATTTTTTAACTCTGAACATGCATTTTCAACCCTTGTGGTGCTGTGACATACATTAAGGGTTATGAGAGGTTTGCCCTGTAGAAAGCGGGTGAAGATCTGTTGCTGAATATTGGGCAGGTCGTACTCCATCAGTGTTTCCTGTCCGCACTCCATGCTGTACTGGCAGTTGGACAGTATCAGTGGAAGCAGGTCCCGCTCATACTCATAATGGATCACATGCATCTCCGTCAGGTCAGCTGGGCTTACCGTGTAACTGACGGAAACAGGACAGAGAAAAATAAGATATAGAAAAATACAGAGGTGAACAGTAACTAAGTACTGTTGTTACTGTACTAAAGTTCATTTTTCAAGTATCTGTACTTTAATTTTTTAAAAACTGGTACCCCGTCCCTAAGAAAGGAGGTCCTTCCTCAGGGGAATTTGCCAAGGAAGAGCTATCGCGAGGAGCATTAGATCTGCAAACCAGGTCAGAGTAGGCCAGTACGGTACAATCAACAAGACCTGTTCCTTTTCTTCCCTGAATTTGTACACTGAATTTGTGTCTGTGCAAGCAGGCTCACTGTGAGAAATGCATATTTGCGCAGAACCCATGGCCAGCTGTGTACCAGTGCATCCGTACCTAGGTCAGGGAGTAAAACAACTGGCAGGATTCGTGGGAAGCGGAAAGGTCTATCTGGTTCTAGCTGGACCGTCTGGGGATGGAGTCTCTATTCTCCAAGGAGCGTGGGCTGTCGTAAAAGCGCATTGGCTGCACGATTGAGATCTCCTGGGATGTGAACGGCCTGCAGCGATTTGAGCCATGTCTGACTCCAATGGAGGAGATGGCAGGCGATCTGAGACATGCTACGGGAGCGTACTCCACCTTGGCGAAACCGGTGGAGGGCTAGAAGCACCGCCAGCAACTCCAGGAAATTGATGTGCCAATGCAGGCAAGGTTCTGTCCAGGACCCCAAGGCTGCATGCCCATTGCATACGGCACCCCAGCCCATATTGGAAGCATCTGTAGTGACAACAACATGCCTGGACACTTGTTCTAAGGGCACACCGGCCCATAGAAAGGCAAAATCCGACCAAGGGCTGAAGGAACATTGCTGCGTGATGGTCACCCGGTATGAGCCACAGTGCCATGACCATCGCATTGCCCAATGCTGAAGCGGTTTCATATGAAGCAATTCGAGTGGGGTGACCGTGCCTGCAGATGCCATATGCCCCATGAGCCTCTGAAATAATTTCAGTGGAACTGCAGTTTTCCCCCCTGAATGAGTTCAGGCCACTGATCTATATATAATGACTGGATCGCTCATTACGTTCTAAACTGCCGACAGGCAGTGAAGCAACCGGAAGTGTGTAACAAATTTAACTTATCTTACTTTAAGTCTTATTGTTACCAAAGAGTTCTTTTTTGGGTAATCTTGTTTTAAACAGCTTACCAACCATCAATTCAATAAAGCATGTGCAAAACATAAGACTCTCAATGATCAATGCATGTATTACTAGACATATAAACTTCAAGCAAACATTGTTCAACCCCACAGCACAATGAACAGCACATTGAAAGGTAAATAAGTAAACTGAGTCCAAAAGGCAAGTGCTAATATCAGTCCACGAGTCCTATAAAGGCACAGATTTCCATACGATCAATCAGAGTCCACAACAAAGAAACAGTCCAATCAATCAAAAATATATAGGGACAAGGTTTTCACACTGACAGCTGTCATTGTAAGACAGTTAGCAACTCAGTTTGTTTGTCCGAGTTCACAACAGTAACTAAGAGGGGCGGGGCTTACCGATAGGTCAATTGGGAGAGGTGCTGGAGCACCTGGTCCCAGGACTGCATAACTGCTCTCGAGACTGTGCTAGGATCAGCCAGTTGTCGAGATAGCTGAGGATCCTGATGCCCACTTCCCGTAATGGGGCAAGGGCACCCTCCGTGACTTTGGTAAAGACACAGGGAGACAGGGACAGCCCAAAGGGGAGGACCTTGTACTGGTACGCCTGACCCTTGAACGCAAACCAAAGAAACGGTCTATGTTGAGATAATATCAAGATGTGAAAGTATGCGTCCTTCAGGCCGATGGCTGCAAACCAATCCTGCAGACGAATGTACTTGAGAATGCGTTTCTGCATCAACATCTTGAACGGGAACCTGTGTAAGAAACCGTTCAAGACTCGTCTTTGAAGCACGCCCTCTTGGTTGCCGGAGGAGAACGTCGAGTCTGAGAGTGAGGAAACCGAGCGTCGCTCACTGTCAGGCTCTGACACAGATGACCCAAAGGGAGAGGAAACTGCTCTTTTTGTGAGTGGTTGGGCGGAATGGAATTCACTCTTTTGCGAGACACTCAGCCTTCCATCAGAGGCAGAGATATTGCGTGATATTGTTCGCCTCCTGAAGAGCAGCTCCCCTCAACTCTGGGTTGCCATCTCAGGGCCGCTTCCCCATCTTATGAGAAGACTTAGGGGCCAGATACCCTAATAATACCCTGGCCTTGGCAGCCAGGGCTGATGAGAACTTACATGCCTTGGACAGGATTTGTGACCAGCTGTGGTCAGGTGGCAGAGTTCTGCGGGCACAAGCTCCACTGGAGGAATGTTCATTCCGGCTGAGCTACCGCTCCCGAGGAAGGCAGCTCATCGGAATCAGACGACAGCCCACCCTCTTATGCTGTGATAGACGTCTGGTCCTCGGGGGGGGGGGGGGCCAGCTTTGAGCACTCAGGGTTGGGCGGTGTGTTCACTTCCAACCCAATGCTCACGGCTGCCCGGGCAAGCACGGCCGTCAACTTTAGGTCCGATTCGGCGGAAGCCACAACACCCGATGGGCCCAACGGAGGGCTTCATCCTCAGAGGACAATAGCCCATCCCACGATGTTGCTATCGACATCTGATCCTCTGGCGGAGCCTCGAATGAAAGGCTGGGACCGTCATGTGACGGGCCAGCGGAATCACCTGGAAACTGTACGGGACAAGCGCTGCATGAGGAGTGGGAGGTCTGTGGGGACTGGCCCAACGAATTAGCTCCCACTGTAACCCTCAGGCTTCCCTGAGTGCTAAGCAACACCTCCCTCTGCTATGCAGAGGGGCGAGCACGGGTAGCAGCTAAGGGGGTACTCCTAAGATAGGAGCGCCGCAACCACAACTCGGTCAGAGGAATGCGCTCGCAATGAACGCATAACCCCCCATAAGCACTGATCCAATGTGGTCTAAGCCTATACATGAAAATCAGTGATAATGGCCATCATGAGGGTCCAGGAAACTACCGCACCCGGAGATACACAGATAAACAGACATCTGTTAAAAAGACGCTGCACGACTGTGCCTGATCTTTTAGGAAAGTCCGCTCTTTTAGCCAGTGTGCCCAGGGGGAACTCGCAGCACTTAATTTTTTCTTAACGAAAATCTGAATGAGTGGTTGCAGCCACCATCTTACATACCCCTAAGCACGAGGGAGTGGCTTGGCATGCAAAATCCACTTGCCAATGTTCATGGGCTCTTTCTCTTACTCATTGAGGTGATTAGGATCCCAAGGGAATCTCCATATGCCATTACAACATCCGTTGAAGTGACATACAGAAATGGAACTAGTATGTTTGCATAGCATTGATCTTAAAATACTAACACATTGAGCCCAACATGACTTCTTTTTTATATTGTATATTTATATTTAACATAATTTTAGGAAAAATATTTAGTTTTTCTCAACTCTATGTACTATATGGTATATTTTGTTATTTTTACTTGTTTGCACACTTGAATTACCAGAAATTATCAGTAGCAGTTATCAGTGTATGGCAAGTTTTGGTAATAAAAATCTTCTCCTTACTTCAATACATATGAAGTTGCTGCATAATCCTCCATATTGACTAGTGCTGGCTGCTTGACAATTCATAATAATTAATAACGATATCAGACTGAGCTGTTGCCTATTTACAAGCAGTAATCAATCACTACTTTTTACTTTTAATACTTTAGTATATTAAAATATCAAGTACTTTTGTACTTTTACCCAAGTAAAATAGAAAGGGAGTCCTTAATACTTTTACTGGAGTAATATTTTATTAGGGTATCTGTACTTTTACTCAATTACTTGATTTGTGTACTTTGTCCACCACTCGAAAAATAAGGTTAACAGGGAAATATGGCAGAAAAGTTGCTAGCTTTAACCACCAGGTCACAGCTCTGACAGGACAATGGTTCAGTGTGAGTTATTAGTGTGTCGATGTGTAATTACCAAGGTATTCTGGATGGTTGTTTTCTGGCTCAAATCGAAGGAACCCTCTACTAAGTCATTTACAAATGACTCAGAATCCTTTTTAAATGTAACTCTATGGGTGTTTTTTTTCTCATCTTGTATCACTGGACATTCTATCAACAAGCCACATGATTTGATATCTCTCATATCCACTGTGTCACTGTGCGTCATGCCATAATGATTCATACTTAGGGTTAAGGCTTTGCTCAACACAATAGCCCTAAATGAGCAATGATTCCTATATAAAACACAACAAATTACATAAGACATCTGAACTCCTTACCCAGACTCCTCTCCGGGAGGATGTTTTTCCATGGTGTACACAAGGTCATTATGAAGGGCAATGAGGTAGCTGACAAGGGCAGTGGAGCACAGGCCCAGACCACGTCTCTGTGGCAGCAGCACCTGCAGGTCAGCGTCCAAACTCAGATCCTTCTGAGTGTATTCAGCCGGCAGCTTTATGTCTACTAACAGAAAAATATTAATTCATCAACAGAAAACAATAAACATTGCTCATCTGCCAAAGAAATGATTTAACAGTGGTCTAAAACAGGGTTAGTATGTAGGGGGTTGGTTTACCTGTGGTGGCCAGAGATACCCTGAGTTGGTTCCATGTTGACAAGAAGATGTTTATGCACTTTTTATACCAAGCTAGTGAAGCTGTTGGTTGAAAATATGACACTATTACTGGGTTTACAGTGAAAATAATAATTATTTATAGAGAAATGCCATATGCTTGCAGGATTGCTGAAGACATTTGCACTAAAATGGGTAAATTAACCACAAACAAGCTTGCCAAAATTATTAACAACAATTAATGTATCAGCAATCAATCATGAACATCCTCATACTGACCCTAAGATAGGGCTGGACAAGGCTGCCCATTTAGATTCACTTTCTTGCAGAGATCAATCTCCAGCCTGATCAAACTCCTGATTTTGACCTTGATTGTTTTGTTCATGTGTGTTTGATTAGGGCTGGAGTGAACTCTGCAGAATTTAGCCATGGCAAATGATTTCTTCATTCTCTATGACCAATTGTCCAGTACCTTCTTTATGGCTATCCAGAAACTCTCCTATGGTTTTGAAGGTTAAGTCTGTCACGTTCTGGAACTTCTTTACCAAATCCTTCTGGAGAACCAAGATGTCAGGAAGGAACTTCACTAGCCGTAACTCTGCTTCCTGAAATGAACAGTGTAATGGTTAGATCAGTTACACAATTATTTGTTACATTTAACAAACAATCCACAACAAGCAAACCATGATGGTAGAGTCATATAAAAAACCCTCCCCTGAACTGCAGATAACTCCAAATGTAACACAGGCAACTGGTTACCATGGCAGCAAAGATGCATCAGCATGATACAATGAGAAGAATCTATGATCATTTACACTTTTATAGGAGTAAGGGAGAACAAAGCAGCTATGGCATTATTTATATTTTGATTACTGTGCACTATGATGTAAATAAACTACAAACAAAAAAACTCTTAAAAATGACTATTAATCTCTCAAAAGATGACTTGACTCAAGATTATATTCACAGAAAAATGCTCTCTTAAGTTGTTTATTCAACTGTATATTCAGTTTAACTTGTTTAATCTGTACACTCTTTAGGAAACTTTCTTTTGGACATAAATTAGGATTACAAAGTCACTTTTCTGCTATTGTTCTTAGATTCCTCTACACCTGTCTACCTTTATTTTTTTCCCATGCTGCTTTATTATAGTGAAATAACTTCAGATAAACCCGCCACTAATATCTTACCCTTTGAAGGAACCTCCAGAGTATAGGTAAAGTGTCCCGGCCATTGTTCTGTTCCACAATGTGGGCCAGACTCAACGCCGAGACCTTCCTCCTGCAGCTCCAGATGGATGAATTATGGATAAGGGAGTTCTGGGGCAAAGAGCGCAGGAAAAGCTCTGGTTTCCCAAATGCCAACTTCATCACTGGATTAGAAGACACTCGCTCATCTTTCCTGATGATTACATTCACTTCCTTTAGCTGTTTCTCCAGAACCTGAGAGAAAGAAATATATCAACGAATGAAAAGTAGAGCTTCAACTAATAGTCATTTCAGTAATCCAGAGGTTGTCAAACTTTTTTTGTCAGCTGAACCTCTTAGATGTCATCTATTTACTTGAAGTACCCCTTGAGGTTTTAGGTTAATATTTAAACAATTTAACAGCACTTTTGCATGTTCACAGTTCTCTGATGACACTTAATGGTCACATGACCTGCAAAGTAAACAGATTAAATATCTAATCTTTTTTTTTTTTCAAATCTGTTTTATATTGATATTGGCGGAATATTGGTAAAAACTTCTGTCTTCTGTCCGCTCACAGCACTTGCAGAGATGTGCGAAGTTTGTAAGAGGCAGCATGTACTGTGATGTACGAGCCACTCTGAAAACAAATATGCACACATGTAAATGAACACAGTGCTGTTGTTCACTCTGATACGTGCAGTCCAACCGACTATATACTTTATTAATTAATTACATGAAGGTGGACTAAAACAAACAAATGTCCAATGTTATCCAATAAAGAAACAACAACCAGACACCTCCGACCTAGAGGTTTAGAACCAAGCCCAGGAAGGACTTCTCATTAGTCCATGCAGTTTCTGCCCTTCACCCATCTAGAGACTGATTGCTAAGGTTTTGGCCTGTGACCTCCATAAAAATTCCTTAGGACCTCCGGATGCAGCAGCAATAGGTGAAACAAAGAGAGATCACAGAGATCCATTCACATCCATTCATAGCTACGTTTGGAAATGGACGTAAACTATAAGGGTGTTCTGATCATTTGGGTACCAACCACAATCAGCAGTTAATCGCTTCTTATAACTGGTGATCTCTCAATTTGGCAATCTTATAAACCGATCTTATGTTGAAGATGCAAAAAGATGAGCACCAACTGTGTAAGGTATGGCAAATATGACATGCTTGCATTGACATTGGCACTGTCTCACGTTCTGAGTCTCTAGAATGTGAGGAAAAACACATTTACAGACACACTATGTTCCGAGTCTTTGTCCCAGAGAGACAAAAGCGCTTTGACCTCTCTGGTCTTGAGTCTCTAGCCCAGAGTGGCAGAAGACATACAGACATTTGTAACAAGGCCAAGGTCCTGCAAGCAAGCCTTCACTTAAAGGTACATTCTTCTGCCTGTTCCAGATTAAGGACCTTCTGCACCTACTTTAGGGCCTCATCTGTGTTACAGATTTTAAGACCCTATGGCGCTCCAGGAGATCAGCACTGTTGACATTTTTGAATTTTGAATTCACTGTTGAAAGCCGCAGAAAGGCTCATCAGTAAACCACTTTCGCCACTGCATTGTAAACCAGCAAAACCAGTGGAAAAAATCACCACCACCGGACTGCTCACTCGACCACAGAGAATGTAAATATCACTCATCCAAACCTCTTTCTAGAGACCTTGTATATTATCAGTATATCATTTTCTAATTTACATTAAATAGCAAAAGGCAGTGATTTAATTAAATAGCCTGTAGCACTGCATGTTTTAAAGAGAAGCGCACACTTTGACCAGTTTGTGCGTATCAGTTTACAGGGAATACAGCAAACCCCATCTTCGCATGTGCTGTGAGTTTAACATGCTTTTGGGAATGCAATTGGCACCAGTTACGCATTATTTTTAACATTTACATAATTTCTAACATTTTTGTGGACAGATGATTGCAGTATTTCACTTGATTTACAGTCAAACATATAAACCTGTTTTTGCATAATAAGTTTTCCGCCAATATTAAAGCTTGAGGTTTTAACTGGAAATGAAAGAAATGAAGAGACATGTATCATAATTTTCCTACTGTAACGTTTTAGGAAATGTCACAATTTTCATTTACATTTATTTTACAGTTCAATTGCATTACAATAGTACAAAAACGTCATATCTGTTTATGCTGTGAGGGAAAACAAACTATTCAAATTAACGTGCATAGACCTTGTCAGGTGATTGATCTTAACTCTCTGTAATGAATATGATTTTTGCTCTCTGCAATGCTGAAAAATTGATGTGTGGCATTTTGCACCTATAATCAATACATGTTGATCCCTGATATTTTCTGATGTAAAACCACTCCCACAAAGCCACTGGTGAAAAAATTGAGAGCCTCCAGTAATTCTTCATGTCGCTCTGTGAGATGATTCCTGTTTGATATAGCACATTGCCGAATATAGGCAATATTGACTAAGTAACATCACTGCTGCAGTCGAAACTGTGCATGGAATGTATTCATTTAAAATGCTACATACTCATTTTTTATTTCATAGCTTTAATGACCATGGGATAACAATATAGACTGTTGAATGACCCTAGGATACTGATATTACAGTCAGATTAAATACAGGGATTGAAGACGGGGTCGGCAACCTAATCACTGGCACACGAGCAACAGGGAAAACTGCATTCCAACATACATTTTGAGGTAATCATTCCTCATAGTTACATAGCTGGTTAGGGACTATAAAAAGTGAGAATTAACGTGCACTAGTCTACAGACACATGTGGCTCCGGCAAACCATTGGCGCATATGAGGCACTGCAGATTAATGCTGTGCCATGCTTTCACATAGGTTAAGTCCATTTAGCTTCAGTCACACTACAATATTCAGTGCATGACAGCTTAAAGTTCCCTTCCGAGGGAACTTGAACTACGTCCTCTAGCAGTCGCTATGGGGAACACTTTCAGCATGACCAATGCCTGAAGCAAACATCTAAACACGACAAAAGCATTGCCCGGCGACAGCCTATGTCATCACTACTGACGCGACCACAGTATAAAAGGGTGCCGATAGAACACGTCATCATCAAGTCTTCAGGGACTGTTTTGTTTGAAGCATGCATTCTGGTAAGAACGCTGTTCTTTCTATTACATTGCGATGTAGCAAATTAGCTTAAAAGGGAAATGTTTATAAATAATTACAATTAATTATGATTAATTACAATTATTTATATCCGCTGCCAGTAGTACCTGTAGCAGAATTAAATTGCCATCAACTAATCTGTCCGTCCAGCAAACATTTAGTGTGATTTTATTTCAACTCTAAGAAAGGATATTTTCGTGGCCACAGAAAATAACTGTCTTACAGTAATAATGCATTAGAGCATGTAGCTAGATCAGATCGTAAAAGGGACATTATCCACAAGCAGTGACAGAATCAGAAACAAGATGTGCGCACAAAGAAACATCTGTGCGCACAAGTTTTATTAACTAAACACTAAAACAAAACTAGTCAAACAAACAAACACAATCACTCATACATGGGGGAAGGGCAAATGAGACTTGATGAATGAAACCATTAGAGAAACAGGGGATGAAGCTATGAAAAGTGTCAGTTACCACCTGAGTGAAACCATCAGCGCCGTTTTACAACGGGGTCTACAGCTTATACTAAACCTCTGTTTCGTTTAGTTGAATGTATGATACTTGCATTGCCTTGGTCATTGAACGAGTGTCCGGATGTCTTAGATAAAAATTCTGATGGTTTGAAGGTTTGGTGGTGTTGGAATCACAATCACATTCTTCAGGGTTTGAAGAATGATGAGCTCCAAAGATGTTATTCTGACTCTGTGGTGATTGGGAGAGTTTTCTCCCAGGTGAAGAGTGAAGACAGAAGACATAGCTGCAGTCAAGGCCTGTCGGGTGCAGTAAGGTTGAGCACGACGGTGGTTGAGGAATGTTCCATGTCCTGCTCCCTGACAGCCTTGCTGAATGTTTTGGCTCAGAAAGAAAAACGCTCAGGAAGTGAGCTATTTCATGTCTTGCCCTGCAGACTTAAGCTACCCCATGACCATTCTGCACATGCACTGAGCTTGAGTTTTTAGTAACTCTGTTCTCTGAATTCCGCTCTGCAGTTTTGATAGGCTGTCAGGCCATCTGTGGGCCTCCCTGTCACACTGCCCTTATGGTTGAATCAGTCCCTCCCCTTTTAGGAGTGGTTTTGAGTGCACTGAGGTATGAGTGTGATGTACTCCCTTCCTTCTAAAGTTCTATTATTGAGTACTCACTCTGAGGAGCTCTAATCAGGTGTATGAATGGCTTTTGGTCCCATTCAGTTTTTTTGGTTGTTGGCGTGGAAACCCGTCGCTCCCCTCCCGGGCCTGTAAGCATTCGTCTGGTCTGACCGGCGGTGCTTATACGGCTTGTGGAGAAGCTGCTTCCGCCTTACACGCTATGGCGTTACTGTCATATGGCAGCTGCAGTGGCAGTTATGCCGCTAGGGCTTCTTCATATGAGACCGCTTCAGCACTGGCTTCATGGCCGAGTCCCGAGGTGGGCGTGGCAGCGCGGCACTCACCGGCTAGAGTTGTTACCGGTGCGCCTTGCCTTGAACCGTCTCAAAGAGCGCTTACGAGGCAAGCACGTGCACGTGGCCTACGCTCCCATCGCATGTTGCAACTCACCCGCCACCTCCTCCTTTAGAGTCGGAAGGTTCTGAGGTCACTTCATGCCATTCACATTGCGGGTCTGCTCAACCGTACGGCCGACGAGCTGCCAATGTGCATTGGCTCATTTAGTTACACTCGAAGTAGATTGGTCTCTCGAAGCGAGATCCCAATTCGTCAGTCATCGATGTGACGTCTCCGTTCCCTCCTTCAGGGAACGAGGGTTACATACGTAACCGAGACGTCCTCTTCTCAGGGAACTATTGTTGCATGCGTAACCTGAGATGTGTTTTCTGCATTTGTTGCTCATAGCAATAAATAAATTACCTCTATAAATGCTGGTTATTCTTAAGTATATTTCCCACACAAATAACAATGATGGTTCTGTGTGAACAACAATATTCACACATACAGTGGTGTTCAGTAGAGTCACACTGTAAATATGGTATTCAAAGTCTAATTAAAACATTAAAATAAATTTTGGTAACACTTTGCTTGAAGGGGTGTGCATAAGACTGACATGACACCTTCATAATCATATTATGAAGGAGGTTTTATGCATGTTTATGACAACTGTCATTAAGTGTCATTCGCTCAGTTATGTAATTTTTAATGCAAAGATGACATTATTTGACCTAACCCTACCCCTAACCATAGCCCATAACAGACATCTCAGACAATGTCATCTTTGCATTAAAAATTACATAACTGAGCGAATGACACTTAATGACAGTTGTCATAAACATACATAAAAAACCTTCATATTCATGACATGTCATGTCATGATTATGTAGGTGTCATGTCATGATTATGAAGGTGTCATGTCAGTCTTATGCACACCCCTTCAAGTAAAGTGTAACCGAAATTTTTAAAACTTTAAGATTACGCACTATGATAATTAAATACATATTTTTATCTGAATGTTAAAAAATTATTATGTACTGTTTAAAAAAAACTGAAAAATGACACTTCTTGCCCAAAAGGTTGCTGATCCCTGATCTAATATTAGTTGTCTTTTACCTGGAGACTCAATTAAGTAACAAAAAATGTTGGGAAACGACATCTCTGGCAAATCCATTGGGTCGTTTGCCCAGTCACAGATACTGTATGGACAGTCCGGCCCAATACAGCTCAGTTTTTCTATGTATCTTGCTCTGCCGAGTGGCACAAGCAATTCTGTGTAGACCATACTGGGTTATCGCCATGCTTTTCCAGTCAGGGTAAAGGATTGTTTTCCCCCACTCCATGTTTGTGCTTTCCACAAACACATTGCAAAATATTGCCAGTCTTACTGAGCATTTTTCCCCATTGCTTTTATGACAGATTCTTGTTATGACCCTTGTGTAGGGTTGGGAATCGAAAACCTATTCCAATTCTGGAATGGGATACTTAAGGTCAGGATTCAGATACTTGTTGTAAGATTACATTTCTGGGGTGCAGCTCTGCTGCTGACCCAGTGCTTCACATGTTGTCTTTTTGTTTGTTTGTATTTTTATTGTTTTTATATAGTTATCTTTATTAATTTAAATTTTTTTTTGACTCAACATTCCAGTGATGCGAGATATTCTACTGACTCAACATGAAGATTCGTGGTTTTATGGTCTGGTTGGCGGTATGTTTGGCAACATTCCTAATTGCGGCCAGCTCAGGAGTTAATATTATGAATGGAATCCTTGCCTACACCAGGAATTGTTGCTGCTTCTACCACAGTCACAACACGGCTTCCTACAGATTAACTTACTGGAAAGATTGCAATGAATTGCTAAGGAATCCTAGGACAAAGGAGCAAAAAAGCGTCCATCTAAGAAGAAACGAGGAAGAAACAAGTGTGTACTGCAAATTATGAGCTCTTGTCCATGTACTTTAGACCCTCTTATCTACCATGGGAATTTGGACAGATCACCGTTATTTTCATTTATGTGACGGGACCGGACAATGTGGAAGCTGGAAATAGTATAGCGAAAAGTTATAAAAATGCTCTGGGGCATGCTCTTCTGACCAACCGATTTTAATTCTAGGAGATGTGAATTCTTGTGATATATCAAGATATTTGCCTACACTCCATCAGTATGTGGAATGTCCCACTCGATCTGGACAAATGTTTCGGCAATATAACAGAAGGCAATAAGGCTGTATGCTGCCCCCTCTTTGGGGAAGTCAGATCAAAATATTATACATTTGTTACCCAAATATCGAGCCAAGCTTAAACGCAAGAAACCGGTGATTAAAGAGATACAACTGTGGACAGATCAGAGTAAAGAGGAACTTAGAGACTGTTTTGATGGAACTGATTGGCAACTGTTCTTTGATGCATACGAGGGAATATATGAGGGAAAGACAAAAACAATTAAATGATATTTATACAGCTAAAGTTAAACCAAAAGCTTTAGTTATTATAGAGGATTCATTACACACTTTGCACTGCCAGTTTTAGGTAACCTCGGGCAATTACAAATGTGTATCAGATGTCAATTTGCCAACTGCAGTTAGAATTTTAAATGCTGATACATGAATATTAATATGTATGCAGATATATGTACATATGGGAATGTATGTATGTGCATGCTAAAGTTTTTTTTGAGTCTATATTGTATTGTATTTTTACTTTATTTTACTTTTTAGAGTTGTTGTGTATTGTATTGGTCTTGACAAATTTCCACCTTTTTCCACTAGACAATAAAGAAAAGTTAAAAAAAAATAAAATGTTTACAGTGGTAACCAAGAAAACTCAGTATCACTGTTGTTCCATAAGCGCCACCTGCTGGCAGAGAGTGAATTTGGGTCTCATTCAGTCTGTCTACTGTTATGTAGTTTTGTGCAGAACAATTTCACAAAGCTTGTCAGAGCTAAGTCAGACCATTGTTTTTGCTTCAAATTTTCTGTACAAGTGCATTTTCTGCTGGAAAATGTGGACATGATATTTCTTTAAAAAAAAAAAAATCCAAGCTAGGAAAGAGCACAGGCAAAGCCTTAGTTTTATTACATGAAAAGATTTATTTTATTTGCATTAGTAATTAATTTATTTATTTGATTTGGGATTTGTTTTAAAACTTCAATTGATTTTTATTTTTGTTACTTGACATTGAAGATATATCAGTTTCACAGAAATGTGCAGAATTTTGTCCGGGAAACAATAAAAGGACACTTTTTTCATTTAGAATTTGTCTTAAATCACATTTTGTTACAATAATCATATTGTGAAACCAAAATTGTTCATTGTGAGTTGAGTGAATTGTTACATTCCTACTTCTCCTGTTTTACTGATTTTTTTTGCTCATGGTATTCAGCTGCTACTAAATGTTTTTGCAAAAATAGACAAAAAAATAAATGTTTGATTCATTTTTTTGGTTCCGAAACTGGGAATTGTTAAGAATCGGAATCAGATTTGATAAAATTCTCTCCCTTGTGCCTGTTTACTTGGATCACGTTTATTGGATTACTGCTTTTTGCCTGTCTGGACTAACTATCTTAATCATCAACCATTACCTGTATTTCTGACCATCCATATGCCTGTTGATTTGGATTTACTGTTTCAATAAACTTCTGTAAATAGATTCAAACCCAACATCAAGCCTGAGTCTGTTACATGAAGTGCACCAGACTGATTCATTTAACTTTAAAATGTATACAATTTTACCCCTAGAGGGACAGAGGTCCGCCCCCATAGTTACACTAAATCCTGTAGAACTACCTAATAATGAAAAAAGTGTTTTTTTTTTATTGTTAATAATTGTCTATCCATTTCAGACATAATGTGAAATCATGGAAATACATGAGAAAATGCAAAATCAAACATGATACATTAAATATGCTGGATACATAATACACTAAAAGAAAGCATGTTGTTCACCTTCAGCTGATGTGTAATGACATCAGTATTCATGGCATTTTCCCATCCATTTCTTGCATCTTTAGAGGAAAGGTTTTTATCATAAGGAGCAGGCCCTGTCAATAATAACAAAATGTAACATTTCTTGAATTTATGTGGCAGGAGATCAATATGGCATGTGGAAATGCAAGTTGAGTTTTGGGAACTCTTACACTGGCTGGCCTGATGGGGATTGCAGATGTTGTTTATGCTCAAACAGCAACATTACACACTAACTAAAGTTAAAAAAGTGAAATCGCAATCAACCACCCCTTTAACATATTTGATGTACTGAATTTCGTACACGTAGAGAAACGTAGCATAGCATATCTAAAGTGTGTTTTATTACCATGGTTTAGTTATTTTTTACTAATGCTCATCAGATCACATTGTTCAGTGAAAAATTTATAGAAATAATGATTCTGTCTAAATAAACATGGGTATCACTTTATAATAACAATACAGTTATAAAGTATTTACAAATTATTTGCAAACTATTTGTTTATAGTTAACGGCCTGGGGTCGGCAAAGGCGCCGGCGGGAGCACTTGCATATTTACCAGATGACAGCAAAAAGAACTTAAACTGCTTTTTATTCATTCATTTTAGCTTGACATTTATGTTTTTTAGAATGAATGCCACTAAAATGCTATAAAATGCTCGTCCAATCAAAATGTTCGGTCAGAACATTACGATAGGCTGTCCTGCCTGCCTGTCAAAATATGTATTTGCATACCTCTGCGCACGCCATCTCTCCTCGCATTGCTGGTTAGTCTCCGGTCTGCCTGAGCGCGTTAATGTGTTTTGGAGGAGGCGTGGCTTTGCAGACTGATTATCCTGGGAGGGTGGTCCAAAATCGTCTACCCTACCATTAAGTTTGAGATTAAACCTCAAAAAAAGTATCCTTTCTCCAGAGGTTTTTGAACCTTTTATCTCTCCTAGACAGCACTCCATGAGAGAATCCCATCTGGAAAGATCTTCTGTCTCAGGTATGGTGCTTGACTGACCACCCCCTGAGGAAGCCCAAGTCATAAACTCTGGTCTCTAAAACAAGGTTTTGAGACTATCCTGAATGCTGGAGCTGCCTCCACTAGGAAACTATATGCCCTGAAATGGCAGCTCTTTGCATGGAGCACACAGGGGCAATATATTTTTTATTAATATATTAATTTTTTGGAAGCTCTAACTCACACTAAATATTTTGGAGGGCAATTGTAATTTTACTTATTTTTTAGTACTGTTTCCACATACTAGACAGCGGCCAACCTCCATGGGCAGACCACACTGGACAGATGCATGAAGAGAATGAATTTTTTATTTGACAAAAATCATAACAATTTGATCATATTAAATTAAAACTAATGCTGTGTTCTGCGACTTGTAATGTATGTAGTTAATGCTATTCCGAATCATAGAAATTAAATTACCCTACCATATCAACAATGCATGGATGACCATTAGGACAGGCTGTTAAAAACAAAAGAAGATGTTAAGAATTGATTTAAAAACAGGATGTAGAAATGTTCAAATACAGAACCACTTGTCAATGCCAAGGATCTGTCAAAATTCCACCCCCCCTTGTTTCCCAAAGCAATTCTATTGGCTAAAATCAGTTTTTGGATATTTCGTATCTGATTATAAATCCTGCAAGTCTATATATATCAGATAATCCTACAAACCCTATTGGTCTGTGTAATATTACAAAACAAAAATGCATCAGTCAAAAAGGTTTAATTTTTTTTAACTTCATTATTATTAATAGGTAACACTTTATTTTA